CCATATGCGAACACCCATACTGATTTCGGAGAATGAACTGCATTAATGACAGTATTACTTACCCATTTAAAAGTATTATTTTCCTCTATGTATACGTATGTGTGCTCATCAAATAACGATTTCCAACATTATCCTTAGAAAATAAACCCATATAAAAAGATAGAGGAATATCATCCGCAAAACGGACAGGTACAATGCGTTTGAGGTTTAAAAGATAGGGGAATTATTCTCCTATGTCAGCCAACACTCTATCTCGTAAATTTATTGCTGAAAAAGTGCCTTGAGGTAGATCCCCGGAAAAAGGACATCTGGAATTTCCTTTTATATTCTGGAACGCAGTATATGATTTTTTTTAGACTTTATTAATTATATTGCTTGATCCAAGTTAAAGGACATTTTCAATCATTACATATATTATCATTTATAACTTTTAATGAAAGTCTCATTCCTTTAATAATAATGTCATAACTGTAACTCTTTAAATACAGAAATATTATAAGTCTCATCATATCAATATACTAAGATATACATGTATGCACATAACATTAATAATTCCCAGTTGAGTGTCTAAACATTAAATGCATATCTCTTACAGTAACAAATATGTCCCTCTTTTTACCTTCCATTTGACTGTACTATATAACTAACTGCATATACATGTATATCAAGTATTTAAAATTGATAACTTCAGGATGTTATCCTTTCTCTGTTTTAAATATATAGACATGTCTCAGTACCTTTATGCATAGCTTTAATTTTCTACTTTTCATTTTTACCAAAGGTTATTCTATTAACAATTTATATACAAACACATAGAAAATAATAATTAGTTTCACGTAGTGATTAGAAGATTCCTGTAGCAGAATACCTGTAGGTTAATTTGTACTAACTGCACAAACTAAAAAAAATCCAGTCCATAAGCCAGTAAAATAAAAATCTATCAATATTCACTCCTCAGGGTCTCTATGCTTTGGATGACCTTACAACTGGTAATTTGTATACAAAAAATATAGTTAGTAATACCTAAGATAGACAGAAAAGAACAAATAATTTAGTAAACTTGAGTTACTTCCCCTTAAAATAGAGAAAACCTGAAACCCAAAAGCAGGCTCAGTTTTATTAAGTCATGTAAAGTAGTGGTAGTAAGTTAGATGGTCATGTGACAGCAGTAATTGCAGAAAATCGGATATTTTTCAACATCCGGATATTGGTACACTTTGTAAAAACAATCATTCTGTGCAATAGATTAACGTAATATGGATAAAATCAATAGGATAATCATTTACAACAGTTCCATTCCTATCCTAATACTCATTTGCAGGTGAACGTTCTTCTTGTAGGAAAATTTTGAAAATATATAAATGAATGAAAAAGAATACGGCATCAATGTAGACCACAACGATATTCGAAATCCGGGTTTTAGTATTGCCAATAAAGGTAAGGGACAAGCTGTTAAACTGAGCCTGCAATTTTGTGAAAATAACATCACAATGTACATGCTTTTTACATGAAGTTATCAAATACAAATATAACAACATATTTGTACACTTGGTTTTTACGAATCAAAATAAAATTAATTAACACAACATGACATCAACTGCAAATAATAACAGCTAGCTCCTTCCATAGGACAAAACAAAAAGCATTCCATAAGACACGACGCCGCTCATCGGCGTCGCCAATAAACATTTGCAATGTAAACTGGACAAGGCATCGCTTCATTCTTTTGTTCCCGCTATTTTGATCCGTATTGTTTTAAACTTTTCATTTTGTTCAAGAAAAAACAACTCTAGGTATATATTCGGTTGCGCTTTTTATGCTTTCTTCGCATATCTTTAGCCAAAACTTAAATAAATAATAAACATATAAACTAATGACGTAACGTAAAGAAAAAAAACGGGAACGTTAAACAATAACGTATTCCCATGCAAACACAATATGGTAATTTATACCGTAAAATTATAATATTACGGACATTTAGGATAATCAGTACAATCAGGCAGTTAATAAATGGCATTTATTAAAGGGAGAGGCTCAAATCGAAACGACGCCCTGAGTAAGCTAGATAAGTTGTTACTCCATAGCTTGCCATACTTTTGTTAATTATTTATGGGTATCAAATTTGATCATAAGCAGACTTATAACCGTATAGCTTGCATTCAATATAATTTGACCTTTACATGAAACATATTAAATAATATATCGACATTAGTGGTCTCCTTAAAGCAAAATAGTAAATTTTCATTTAATTCTTAGTTTATAACTTACCGAAATGTAAAATCACAAACGTTTTAACTTACTTTTATAACTGACGAATAATTGTAAAAAAACAAGGTTTCTCAAACGACGAGTAAAATCTATGAGAACAATGTTCGCGATATCGTGATGTCTGTTTTTTGTTGTTGTTTTTTTAAGTTGTATTAAAGTTACATTAAATAAATATGTAAAACATATTTTACAGTCGGACTAAAAACCAAGCATTATACAGTTTCATTAACCTTTTTAACAGTAGTGTTGTAAATCTCGCCAAACATTGTTCATAAATAAGGATTATAATCGGAAAACCCGACGGTAACACTAAAGTTCGTATACGAATTTTAACATGCAAATGAAAACTTTAATCAGCTCGTGTATGTGCTACGTCACATTGCTTTAGTTGCTATACAGAACACAGCAACTACGAGATTTTCATGTGCAAACACGCTTTAACCGTTTTAGCTTCACGGTACACTTGGCATGGCGTTCAGGAAAGAGTAATCATCAGATAAAAATATTAAGTTTGTATGAAAACATCCGTTACAATGCGGAAATATACCGTTATATTAGGACTGCTACTTATCGCAATGTTTGTTGATTTAATATTGATGTACGGATAAACCGAAGGCGGAGTTTCTTATGCAAACAGAAATTGTACTTACGATTTCGCCACAATGAGGTCGCAGATATGTATGCTTATAAAACTCATTCTGGTTGTCTTGACACCATAATAAGATCTGGTGTGGATATCAAACCCAATGTATAAATGAAATGTCGCTATTTCTGTTTTTATGAAATTTATTTAAAGTAGCTTTAATGTTTCGCATGAAGAGAGAAAAACTTCTATTTTGACTACATGTTAACGCTTATTTAACTGATATATTTAGTGGGTTGTCGATCTCTGTGTGAAAAGAAGTGATAGCAGTAAGTTATGAGTTAATGATTTCTACTGAAACTTTATGTTTGAAATATATTTTTTTTTTGCTTAAAACAAATATGAGTGTATGTTGAAAAACACCAACAAAATTTGAAATGACCAATTAGAACAACATTTTGTTAATAATAAAAAAGAAATCAACAACAGTTGAACATAGAACACATAGCAATGTGATGTCAACGGTAAAAACCGTTGCGAAAGGAATGTCATACAAAATTAAGCGATTGTTGACTGAAACATAATAGAAATTGTATAACTGTTGGTGAGTGATTAATTTGATGATGTTTACCAAACATTTTATTTCAGCATTTGGAAAAACATGAATTGGTAAGAGCTTTACTTTTTTAGGATTTTTAGGATTATATATGTCTATAAAAAAGTCCAGATTATCGATATATATATAAATGTATGAATTTATATATATATATATTGTTTGATACAAGTCGATACCAACTCAATTTAAATTTTGGTTTATTAAGATTTTATATTAAGCCAAAAGTCAAAACAATTGAATGAAGTTATAACAACGTTTAAGTCATTAATTATATTTTATATGAAAATATGTACACAAATATAATAAAGATGTCAATTTGTGATTATTCATCAATATTGTTAGACATTTACGTTTTACTTTTAAACTAGAAGTAATTCCCATAGACGTATGTGTAGATTGAAACTGATTGATGCATAAGACAACACAGATAATACTTAATTAATCAGAACAGTTTTCAAAATGTATTCATAAATGCGTTTTGACAGCAACATCAACTTTTTCACCAGTGTTATCTTTGTCCTTCAAAAAAGTATTCTAACTAACCTTTTTATTCGAAACTCAGCCTGCTACAATTTTGAAAGAAAAATAGATAAAATAGAATAAAATCGATGCCTAATCATTATTTGCCACAGCACTTGTTGGTGAGTTGTTCAATTACTTAACGCAGATTTTGTGTAATTTTCCAAAATCAAAGTATGTCAATGTTTAATAAATGAGTTTGTCACCCACCTGGTATTTTCTCCTGTGTTTTATCAAAACTACTTTTTTATAGTTGATTGTATGTTTTGAATTATATGTTCTATGAATTAGGCTGAAATTTTGCAATCGACATTTAATACACTTTCATGGCTCCAAATTTCAGTAAGCTTCAAATCATTGATTGTGCAAAAGGTTACCTGACTTTGCCATAGTAACTTAGAAAGTTCATTTTATGTATCGACGCTAACCGATCATTTATAACAATGTTTAAAGAATTTATTTTTTTTTTCATCTGTTCCCGGAATGTTCATTTCAAATATGTTATTTTCTTTTTTATTTACGTTTGCATTTTTATCAAATATTTATTCTGTAATTTCTTATCTTGTAAACAATTATCTTAAGAATTTTAATTGTAAATTTGATACGTCCGATTGTTTTGTTTATATGTATACTTTTTTATTATTTGTTTGCTATCGGCGTTGTTTTGTTTTAATGAATTCAGTTTAATTGCTATTAAAATAATTTAGCTTCATGCATTCATGGATGACATTTTTCTGCTAATACCACCTGTTCCTGAAAAACGTGAACTATTTCTTCTTTGCTCTAAATTCTAATTGCATGTTCAACGTTAAGGTTTTGAACAGGCGGCTGACATCGGGTCTCCAAAGTGTTGTTTTTACTTATTTTGGTTTTGTGCATTTTTCTGGCAATCGTCTCTTGTTTCAGTTCAGGAGGAATGCCTTATGATATTAAGTTCCCAGTAAGTTAATATTACTTAAAATTTAATGCTTTAGTTTTCTTATTGATATTAAGTTATGTTATCAAGTTATTTTAGGTTGAAAAAAAAAATAAAGGCGTTTCTCGTAATAGTGCTATCATTTGGAGTTTACCAATTGTATCTCACATGGCGGCTAACGCTTCCTATGCGGATAAAGAACACACATAGAGACGCACCGTAAGTTGTTAAACAACGAAATAATATTAACTTCACAATAATGTTTATCTGAGTTTTAAAACAGAAATTTTATCAAAGTGTTAAGAATAAGTCTCATATACTATCGGTAAAACCTCCGAAAATGTAAGCCCCATCATGTGTTGGTATTTTTAAGTTATTTAGAAAACAGTAAGTATCAGGAAAATGCTTGACAATGATTAAGATGCAACTATTATATGGAATAAGATAACACCACAACCTACTTAACATCATCTTATATGACCAAAATCGTCAATGTAGCTTAAAAATGAAGAAAATGGATGCTTAGTCGTAATGGTTGAAACAGAATCTGAACATCTAGCTGGAAACTTCCATTCTTAGCGTAAAATATATGCAAGTCAATTCAAATAAAATGCTTATAGGAATACTGTATTTGGTTACAACAATTAACTAAAAAGGCATTATTTATTTTTGATATTGATCAATGCTTTAAATAAATTGGTTACATTTCATAGGAGTATTCAGTTTTAATTCACAAAAAAAAAAAAATAATTCAACTGCAAAAATTAAGGAAATAAACCAACTAGATAAGGTTCAAACAATAAATAAAAACCGTTTACGATCCCTTTATGTTTTATTTCCTTTTAACGCTATATCATTAAATCATTAAAAGAAGTGGCTCTTTTCCATATAATTTTCTTGATTTTTTTATATCTTCTCCAATTTAATTTTCTTGAAATTCATCTGACAACTAATCTGACAACTAATGTTAAAATACTTCCCTTATAAACATTTGTTTCACTCATGCAGAAGTCTTGAAAACAATTTACCATGTTACATAAATTAGATTATTAGCATTAAAACCTTTTGATTTTGGTGTCCTGATAAATGGAGTTTGACATGAATCATTTTTAGTTTCTGGTACTTTTAATTTAATTAAAGTTATCACTGTAAGAATCTTTATGGCAGTCAATATACGACTTTTAACATAATTAAAATAAATTCACATTCAGAAAAACAATCATGCTTTTAAACCAGTATTTACAGTTTATCAAAGTCATGTTTGCCATTTCTAGAAAAATCGTTTTTGAGGAATACTGTGCCATGACAATATATTGCATAAGGTGTTTGCAAGTGTAATGACATTTTCTTATTCTGCAGTGATGATCGAACTAACAATGAAGGCGAACACCATGAAAATAACACGGCACCAGAAGACTACAAACTGATTGCTGCTTATGTACAAGATAAATTGTATGAGATACAGGTATGGTTTTGAAAACTGTATCACTCACTTTACTTTTGTTGTGTTTCATAGCTGATTCAATAATAATGATAATTGTTATACGGAGTCTCTAAGCAGTCAATGACCAAGTTACAACATGTTTAAAATACAGCAGCTAGAATTGTGACCAAAACACTCAAATATGACCACATAACACCTATCTTCCGTGAACTTCACTGGCTTCCGGTAGAGTATCGGGTCGAATATAAAATTTTGACTGATACATATAAATCCCTCATCGATCAATCACCAGCCTATATAAAAGACATGATAAACGTGTACATCCCAGTCAGAAATTTGAGGTCCCAGAATAACTCAATGACATTAGTTTTGCCTAAATCTCGGACAGTACGATATGGTGACAGGTGCTTCCAGACAGTCGCAGCGAACGCGTTACCATCTGTCATTTGAGACTGTAATACCTTGCCAAATTTTAAGAGAGCTCTGAAAACACATTATTTCATAAAGTTCTATGGACGCTAGTTTCATAAAACAACATACATGTACTACTTTTGCTATATTATCACTGTAAATTGTGTGTTTGATTTTATGTCTAAGGGTTTTACTTTATAATTCGTTTCTTTTTTACTTTTGTTTGTTACTTTTTTAACACTCTTATTTCGTTCAAATCTTTTACAGGATAATATAATTGAGACTTGATTTTAAACTGAATGTGTCTGTATTTCTTACCATCCTTTATTGACTTTAGATTATCATTATTGTTTAATAGGTTTACTTAATTAATATCGTACCATATGATTATGTTTTATCAGATTATGTAAAGCACTCTTGAACATTTATTATTTATGAAAAGATAGCTATAGAAATGTGGTATATAATAATAATAATAATAATAATAATAATAATAATGAAAATACATTACAGACAGTTACTTTGCTTGAGTGCAAAATAGAAATACTCTTATTTTAAATATGTCAAACATAATTGTGTTGTTTTTGCTTCTTTTAATCGTATCTACTTCTACTTTTTTTCATACAGAATCCACAGTCATGTGAGTCAGCAAAAAAGGTTGTTTGTGATCTGCCACGAAGTAAGACTTATGAAGTAAATAAAAAAATACTCTTAAATTTATTGTCTTATAAAATTAAGTTTCAGTATTACCAATTTATATTTATTTTTCTTTGTTACTTTTTATAAGGTAAATTTAAATTGTTTATAAGTTGTTGTTGTTAATTTTTGCAGCGACTTTTTTCCGGTCAGTTTCAAAACGAAGAGAATGCTTTTCATGTATTGGTTACATTGATTGTCCTACACTATTACTTGTTTCGTTTTAAATAATAACGGCATGTTAGCTAAACTAGTTATCTACCAATAAATAATTCAAACCGCTAAAATAATCGTCGGATACTTTAGTTGACGTCGGTTTTATGTGGGTTTTCTATCAATTGCCTAAAATAAAAGATACTAACAGAGTATATGTTTCCACACGTCATTTAACGCTGACCAAAGCATGCATAATTTGATATTGATGTGTTTGGTTGCAAGTATTAACTGTTGTACCGATTTCCATTGATACCTATCAACAAATGCGAAATGTGAGAAAGTTAAAGGTCGTGTTATGTGACTTAGACCTTGATAAAATGAGCCGTATATTTTAAATCATGTTTTTTCTTCGCAGAAATAAAGTCCGCAGAAATATAAACATGCCAAACACGAAAAATAAAACAAAACACTTTCAAGATATAATTGTTATTTTCAACTTGTTTCTTTTTCAATATACATGATTTGTTTTAATTCTTCTTCTTTAACAAAGCTTTGTCATTTAAGCTGGATTCGGGAGTCAGGTACATCTCTTGACAGTCTGTTTTACAGTGGGATTTATGACTCACAGGACAGTCATCTGTCGGAAGGGACAATCTGTGTACGAACAAAATGGATGGGGAGACCTTTTTCTTCCGCTTAGCAAGAATTGCTCACAATTATCGAACCAAACAGTTCTTAAAGTCACAAGTAAAATATTTTATTATATTGTTAATAGCATATTGTGAGATAGTTATATAATACAAGTACACGCATTTGTTAAATATAAGTCGTTACTCGGATTTAAAGAAAGTTATGTATTTGAATTATAATTTGCGAATATAGACATTATTAATACGGATGATTCGTTGCTGACACAATTTTTTTATCTTTGTTTGTTATTTTGTTGCTGGAGTAAAAAAGTAAAGAAACTCAGCTTCAAATATTGAGTTTGTTACATATATTTTTTCGTATTGTCTCTTTTTTGCATTTGACATACAGCTCTTTCCAAGACTGAGAATATTCCAGTGATACAGGTTGCTTTCGGACCAACATATATTAAGCTTGAACGATCAATTCCTGAAAACATAAGAAAACGGGTATTACGTTTCCACCCAGACCCACAGCTTTGGTGGGCCGGTCAAATGATTTCTTATATCTTAAGACCTACTATACGCCTCAATAACCTCATCACTGAATCACGAGTGTCACTTGGCTTCAAGAAAGTGATTGTTGGGTATAATAAATTCCTATCTACTAAACTATCGGCTAAATATTTTTATGTTACTACAATTACCGCTACTACTGGGACTAATATGCTATTACTGATTGCGCGACTGCAGCCGATATTGCTATTTTGGCTAATGCGAATGTCATCACTTCCACTGTTGCATTTCTACTTCAAACGTAACTGCTACTGTTTTGTCTGCACATGCTGCTGCAGCTACTTTTACTACAACTGCTATCCCGCAACTGCACTTTTCTTTTCAACTTCCATAATCATTGCGACTACTTCTGTAACTGTCACCACTATTTCTGCTTTTGCTGCTAATGCACCTGTTATTACTATCACTGTTCCATCGACTGCAAAATGATATTGAAGTGAATGCGACTCCTGCAAATGCACCTTAACCAGCAAATAACTTCTAATTGTTGTTTTGGTGTAATTCCTGACTAACTTCTATTTCTTCAATTTAAACAACCAAAAATACGTCAACATTAAGCATTAGTGTTTTGCTGCAAACAGATCACAGTTTTATTGCTGGTATTAAATAAAGCAATACACGCCAAGCATTTAAATTATATCTATATTCCTTTTTGATAAAAAGACAGGGATGATTATGATTATGAGTATGATATATTTTATAACTTATTAATTCATGCGTTTATCATAGTCATAAAACATGTTTCATAGCAAAATATGCAAAAAAATGACATGCTTTAAAAGAACTATATAATTATATATAAGTAATTAATAAGTAATACAATTTCAATAATCAGACTGATATATATATATATATATATATATATATATATATATATATATATATATATATATATATTATTATTATTATTATTATATTACAGGCTACACATTCGGAGAACAGACAAATTAAAGGAAGCTTACTACTATAACGTTACAGAATATATGAAAGCTGCAGATAATTGGTTTAATATATATGAACAAAGTACTGGGAGAGCTGTTAAAACGCGCAAAATATTCCTTGTTACTGACGAGCCTAGTGTTGTATCAGAGGCAAATCAATTGTAAATATTTGTTGTTATATCATCTTTTTTATTTATTTAATTTTGGTTAATTTTTGGATTCATTCTATAATATGACTTACCGTTTCAATATGTTTCTTATATAATTGAAATTATTATAACATATATAAACACTAACTTTTTATTTTTGCAAGGCTTGAATTATGAAATTTCAATGCACATAAAATCATCACAATATTCATTTTAAAACAGCTTAGATTCATATCGTTGTTTATATTGCGAGTATACATATGCTTCTTGGTTATAAATATTATACAATATTTAAATTTGATTTTTATTTATAACAAGTTTATTGTTTCAGGTTTTCTAACTACACAGTTATAAATAATATGAATGCAACTGTAGCGGCAAGTAAATATACATTGCGATTAAAATATTCGTCTCTAAAAGACACCATCAATGACATATTTCTATTGTCAATGTGCGACTACATCGTCTGTACCATGTCATCTAACGTATGTTTTTTTTTTGTTGTTTTTTTATTATTATTTTTCTCACACATTAGAACTACTACGAATAATGTTTAGTTTATATATATATATATTTATTTATATATTTGGGTGACACGATGTGTTTTGATAAGCACACATCTCGTCAATAAATAAGCATAATTCTCAGCCGTGAACGTTTGCATTCAAACGTAAAATTGTGCAAATTTATGAAATAAGATTTATAAAGACAGTTTAACTTGCTTGATCATTATGTATTAAACAGTTATTAGACTTAGATTCTATATCACAAACCTTGAGAAAATATTTGTAAATTATTTGAGCTCACCTCAATAATTATGATCAAATGAGTTTGATTTTATGTACCATTATAATTAGAAACAATAGCTATTTCCATGTTCATATTTCGAACGAATTTGATTTTGCCAAAATGTGACAAATATAAAAATTGTCACTTTATTTTTTACTTTTTTTCAGATATGTAGACTTGCTTTTGAACTCATGCAAACACGACATAAGGATGGCTCAAAATATGCAAAGTCTTTAGACTGTGAATACTTTATACATAAACTTTACAAAAGGCAATGTGATTTAAAACCTGAACGTGATAGACAATTTAATAACACTTACACCAATTTGAAGTTATGGTCATGAATAGGATTCATTCGAGGGATCTTAATTTTCACTGTAAAAATCAAAATCAAAATGTATAATATATTTTAAGATCAATTTAATTTCGTCCTTTTGTCATGTGTCATAATATTGTATACAGTAAATAAAACGTCGAAATTAACAACATTATACATTCATGCAACAACATTTTTTTTTTGTCAAACAGTCAGGGTATCGATATTATTGAGCTGATATGTACAATTTTTATAGAAATATCTGACTTGTAATCTATCATGACTGATTGTTTCAAATCATGTTTGGGTGCGTGAAATAAAAAAAAATGTCGTCCGAGAAGGCCGCCAGAAAATTAGAAAATCGCTATTTACTTTATATTAATGTCGGCTATTATATCAATTGTGTTTAGTATATAATACATATACTATTTAGTATATTATACTAACCTTATATATATTATAAGTATATATGTTAAGTATATATATATCATAAGCTTAAGGCAGACATAAAGTAAATTTAAATCAGCATTTCGGCAGACGATGAACTTAGGCAGACATTTTTAGTTTTGGACTTCAACCACTCTCTAAATGTAATTTATTAACAGAAGTTTTGTTTTTTCACAGATGATTTCGGTACATTTGTTTGATAAAAAATGTTTTTTGATTTAAAATATTTTTTATAAAATACATTTTGTGTTTGTTAAAATCATCTCCATATATATTGTCAACACTACCAAAAACCAACCTTAGGCAGAAATTTTGTAATTCTTAGATTTACGAAAAATATGAAGTATGTTTTGTATTTGAAACTATTTTATTGTCTTTATGTCATCAGAGATTTGTATTATGCTGATAAATGTGGAATATATAACATAATAAAAAAATGTTGTTGTTTTTTTCATGTCCATCCATATTACATTTTCCGTTTTAAAATGTATGAGTCTGCCTAAAACTGGTTCTAGTTAATATTTTTGTATCCGACTTATCCGTCATACTTTCGTTGTTACAAGTGAATATTAACAATTCCTACTTGTATTTTGTACTATTGTGTGTAGAAAGTATAAAGTACAGCAAATGTCATGCCCCGTGAGACTCAACTGGCACAATAGATGTTTGTCTTGACACGAAGGGCTACCATCGTCTATAAATAAAAAACCCTAAAGCGCACAATTTGTTGGGCTAATTAAAATATCAGAAACCACGGACTTTAATTGAATTGTAATATAAATCCGTGCAGATTTAAATAAAAATACCATATTATGAATACTATTATATACATGGGATTTTATTTAAATCGTTCTTTTTTTGTTTTGGATAGAATTTTGGGAACTGCAAAGACGGTCAATAACGGTATAACAGAGTGTATCGATAGATCTGGCAATGAAACCAACGATTGACGTATGACTGATAAAGGGTAAATGCTGAATATTTCATATCGCCATTTTTATTGGTTATTGGTATATCGGTACCTGTCATTGCAGTTATATTCAGATCATATAATAAAGTGTGATACATTTGTATATTTGCAAGCATATTTCTTTCGAAAGACAATTTTTTTTTATTACAATGGAGTCTTTGCAACTAATAATTAATCACAGGAAAAATGTTAATGTATAAATAAACAATATAGTAGAAACGCGTTGAAATACAATGTATGTTTTATTATATATAGCAAGAACATCTATGTGTACTGCGATTAAATATACATGTTATCTCTGAAAACTGATTAATAAAACCCCATAGCAAAAGTTTTGAACAATGGGGACAATACATTTTCAATTTTCTATGTAGTTTTGACAGCAAAATTTTTAAACAAAAGATTTTTGTAAAAATATTTAGGTTTAAGTTTAAAAATAAAGTTATTTTGGGAATTTAAATTAATCAGTAAAAAAAACTAGAAAAAATTTGTTTAAGCATTTTTGAAAAAACAAAAACTTTTTTTCATCTTCCCACATTCAGTTTTTTTTCCTTTTTTTTGTGAAGGGTGCCTGTTGGGCTTTAATTATCCCCACGCGGGGTTTTAATATTACCACGCTTTGTGTTATTACCCGGGGGTTCTTTAATTATCACAGGGTTTTGGGTAGTCCCCTTTTAAAATTTTCACACGGAGGGGTTTTATATTTACACTTAAAATCTTAAATTTATATATTTTTTTTTCCTAAAAAAATTTCCGCGTTTAATGGTGGTATATTTTATTATAAAAGCTTATGATTTTCCACCGCATAGGGGTATCTTAAAGTGTAAACTTAAGACAGAAAATGTTATTTCCTAAACATCAGCGTGCAATCTTTCGATACAGACATTAATATAAATAATGCCTGATACAATTGAAAAATATGTTTCAGTTTAGGTTTCTCTGTTTCAAAAAAGTTTAAAAAAAGTCTGTTTCATGGATTTCCCTTCGTTTTTTTATTTATATTAGTCCCCCTTTTTAGCTGATATATGTTAAGGTTTATTTGTTGCGCTTTGTGTGTTTGCATGTAATTCAAGATAATAGTAAAATACAAAATTAAATGAAAAAAAAAAATAAATAAATAAATAAAAGGAAGACTCGAAATGGCAAAAATCTAGTTATAGTAATGGTGTGAAAAAGGGTTAAGTATACGGAAAGCAGAGGTCCATGAAGGTGTGAATTCTTATTTAATTGGCATGACATTTCCGTAATATTAAACTTATATAAAAACCTCGTTCCGTTTTGATACACCAAAGAATGTATATGGCTGCTGTCAATTGACTCATGAACCTGAAAAAAGTGTTGATCTGTATAACTTCGAGGTTATATTTGTTGATTATGAACTTTCCCGCTATAGTTTATATATTGTGTGATATTTATATATGGTTCTTAGCCTCGTTTATTATGTTCATTGCAAATGTATTATTACCTCATGTTGTCATGTTTGCATGATCTGAGTGGAATAAAGAATAGAATAGCAATGTAACTCAGAAATATGTCAGGGATATGTTTGCGAAAAAGTTGTCAGTTATTTCAGAAATATCCATTACATATATATCATTATAGAAGTTTTCAACAAATAAGACATCAACACTATTTCAGTAGTTTATGAAAAATAAAAAAGATTGCTGTCGTATTTCATATAATGAATATGAAATTTTCTCAATTAAAACAGTTTTCACGTGAAATGTAAAAAGGCACGCTAAAGGATTCGCGCTAATAACATAATAATTATAATGTGATATAAAAGTCAGTTAAATTCAGTATATGTTAAAAGTAGCTCTTATTATTCATCAGTGTACCTTAAGAATTTGATAACACATCTTCTAATCTTAAGGTAAAGATAAATTGGTGCAGGTTGATGCTGGCTAAATAGTCCGAAATGAAGGGGAAAACATGTAAGCCATATAATAAGGTTATTGTTGTTGCAATGCTACTAAATAACAGAAACCCTCTTAGTAACAAAAGCTATTCATTGTGTTGGTTATGAATTTCGCTCTAGTGGTGTGTGGTAATACCGTGATGATCACACGTACGGTCATAATTATACTTAATCAGACATACTGGTTATACACTTTTTTCCAAATGGTTTTCCGCAATATAATTTCTTTTTCAATAATACGGCATTTTATGGATTTCTTTTTTATGACAACAAGACGACCAATCGTTATGAATAATCATAGTTTTGTTTTTAAAGTTTTTTTTTTAATTACAAAGAAAATATCTTTCAATGACGATAGTACTGGTACTGACCACATTCAATGGCAATGATGATATTGGTTGTCGCCATGCAGCTCCACATAGTTATGATGACCCTCTTAGTAATTATAATAATCATTGTGTTAGTGATTATGAGAAATATTTCCACGCGTGTGATTATTTCGCGGCGGCGTAATAATCAAACGGTTAGGGGTAGTGCCGTTAAAATCACACGTACGGTCTTAGATGTACTCCAAAATAGTTAAATCATACACCATTTTATTTTAAAATGAATTCCGCATCTAATAGTATAATTTTTGTGAGAATTAATTAATTTTCTAACACACGGGAGTGTTTTTAAAAAGCATGTATTGCAGCGATTTTTAAATAATTATGACAACCTTCGTTATGAATAATTATAATCATGTTCTGCAGACATTTTCACACAAAATCTTACGACAATTTTTTGTCGTAAGAGAAATCTTACGATAAATCTCCTTTTCACAAAAAATCTTAAGAAAATCTTAAGTGCAAAATCTGTCGTAACTTTACGATAGGTCTTTCCCGTTCGTATGTGTAATTTATTCTCCCTTAAGGGTAAAATATCATGTATCTCTTACCTAAACTGAATAGTTGGAGGACAACTAAATATTAAGCAAACAGTATGTTTTAAATAACACAAATTGAGGTATAATTATTTTTCAACATATACATGTGTGACGTCATGACTTGATGACGTCACGATGGAGAGGGTTATGAATAGTTTAAAATAATGTGAACTATACTGTAGACTAGTATTATTGAAAACATATAATTTGTACAATTGGTGAGTTCGATTTCATTGACAGCATGTACTAGATTCTAGTGGTACATTTTCATTTATTTATAACATAGTAGACCTTCTTTCTGAATCTTTTAGATTTATATAATTATCTTCAATCAATGTATAAATTATATCAGTTTGAATCATTTTTTGTTCTTATCGTAAGTGAAAAACTTAAGATAAATCGTAAGATTTTTTTGTGAAAATGTCTGCTGATAAATATTTTGTTTAAAGTTTTAGTTCTAATTTTAGAATGTTTTATATTTATCGTGTTTTCACTTAGTGTTCAAGACAGTTGTGATTTTAAATATTGATAATAGCTATGTGTGATTGTTATATTTTGCCAGGGATGTAAATAGACAATCATTGATGTGTCATTTTTCTTAATTAGAATAACATTATCTTAACAAATCGAAGCGTTTGAACGTTAGTTATAATATTAAATAATGGTTATCAATAGAATTGCAATCAGATAGAGCTACTTATAATGCCGAAATGTATAATTTGTATTAGAAATAAGAATAGTGCACGTGTTCGATTATATCGCGCCGAAGTAGCAACGGTCATGCGTACGAAATTATATTTAATTTAATCAACCATTTTTGAATTATGTAAAGTATAATACTATTTTCTCCGAAATCAATTGTGTGTCTACATGTGTCTTCAGCTGAAGGTTTATGCAAACTTTTATAAACGTTTTGATGTTAAACAAACTTGATCTCTGAATAAAATGTATAAACCGCCCGCGACAGTAAAGAGCCGTGATAAGCCGTGATAATCGCAGCATGGTTTTTATATTTAACCAAACTAGAATTAATAATATTGTTTACTAAAATGAATTGTGTCAAATAATTGTCCTTCTTTTTTACATACATGTTTGTTATCCAACACACCGGAGCATCTTGAAAAAAGTAATTGCAGGAAATTGGAAAAAAGCGTCTATTCATAAATTTTTGTTTTTATTTTTCTTACATAAATTATACTTGTTCATGTCGAAAAATATCATGATAAAGAAATATTTTTTTACCTAGATTGAAATTATCAGTGTCATATCGGGTTGGTTATATGCATAATACGTATTGGTGTCAATTTCTCTTTAAAATCGCCAGGCGTGAAGTTAACATTGTGCACTAAAACACGAAACATACTGTTTGAAACTGTTTGAAGTGTTCGCCATTCCTTATATCAGTTTATTGACAAATATGGGTATTGATAATTTTTGTAACCAAGCACATTATTTATCGCCTAAATCTTTTACCACCTGATAAATCTCTTATTAGCATAATAGCGTAGCGCTCTGTGGTTGTATAGATACTGGAAAAGTCAAACTTTTTGTTTTTTTGTTGTTTTTTATTTCAACAATCCATGAATTCC